TCATTCTTATTACTGCCTAAAAAGCTATGAACACGCCCAGCAAACATTCTAAAGCGGAAATTCAGTGGACCTATATATGCATTTTGAGCGGTTTTTTTTAGCTTTGCTCATCCGTTACTTAGTGGATCATTAGTGGCAGCCATTAAAAATGACTAGCTGTTGAGATGCCACTATATCATATATTGGAAAGTTATCAACTAGTCACTTATAGTGGATGCTACTTATAGCGGATGTCACCAATTCTAAACGAAGTAACCGATAAGTAAAGCACTCTGAACCCTTTTAATATTGACATTTTGAAGGGTTCACCAAATGAACCCTTCATAATGTCTACACAAGTCCATTGCTAATCCACAACAAAACAGTTTTATGAGACAAGTCTAAACGCAATCTGTACTTCTTTTTCAACAACAGATAATTTATTTTCCAACTCATTACATGCTTAGTTTTAAATATACCTATAAACAAATATATATACCTACCTAAACGAATATACCTTCTAAAATTTTTCCATGTGAAACCTTCTGAAATATCTGCCGAATATACTGGAATGCTGCATTTGCTGGGTTTAATACTTTGACAAGTCTTAGTTTAATTTAAAATGGTGGTTATAAGATCTTCTCAACATTTATAAGGAATTTAGTAATAACATTATACAAACCAGGCTGTAAATGTTCTCTCACCTACCACGCATGCCTTGTGAAGTACTGATTTGCAGTTTTACTATTACATAAACAAAGAAAACATAAGTACTACTTTGTGTATCTTCCATGAAGACCAAAAAGAAATTCTTATAGATTTTTACTCCATAAAAAAAAACAGGAAATTGGTTTCCATTATCGAGTAAAACTGTCTTTGGGTTTCTTGTTGAGCTTATAATGAATAAACTATATTGTGAATTATATCAACGTTATCAAAAAGACCCCAACGTAATGAAAAAACCACAGTAAACCTGGTACTATATAAAAGTATCCAAATGTTCATATCTTTTTTAGTGTTTAAGGGTACTGCAATTTAGATCTAGTAAACTACAATCTTTTAAATTTTCAGAAATTCTGCATTTGATTTAGATCTAACTTTTTACTAAATTATTGAATTCTAATTCTGTGTCATCAAGTTCAAAAATGATTTGCAGCCCTTCTTGAAATTGAGTTATAGTAAGAACAGGTGTTCTCCCGCTCAATCTCAGAACAGGAACAATTTAGTGGGACTGGCCAAAAACTTGAAAATTTTTCTAGGCGTGTTACCAACTTCATTTAACAGTTATAATTAGTTAAACTGAAACATACAAATTAGACCAGCATATACACAAAGTGTTATAAATTTATTACACATAAAGAAAACCTCCAAAATATAAAACTTTATGCTTTTTCTCAGAAGTCTTGATAATATACCACTGAAATCAGCATACCAAAATTATGCAAGAAACATTAAAAGGTTAACATAAACAGAAATATTGTTATTCTGTTCTATTTCAGTTCTATAGGATCAGATTTTAACATAAAATGCAAAGGAAAAATGACGCGTCATAAGAACAAGGGAGATTTTTTAGAAAAATAGTGAATGTCAGATAGTAAAACTGTGGTCTCAGATATTGAAAAATCTTGTTATAAATAAGCAAGCCATTAACAAAAATTTCAGTTTACCGCTAAATTTAACTTTCTTTTAAACTTCAAAGACGAACACTTGTAAGTGCTCATGCTTAACAGAATGATTATGCAATGGAAAGTCCTAGCCAACCAAACTAGCCAATCTGCCAAAATCTTGAAGTTACTGATTAGATTCTTCTAATTGATTGCTTCTAATTATAAGAGTCTCATAGATCAGTTTATTATCAAATACCAACTCTTAACACTAAATTTAATTTTAGTTTTTTAAATGATTGGGATTTTTTTAACACTAGATGTTCACAATAGATTCTAACAAGTTGAGACTGATGAAGGATTGTCAAGGTATCAGTTTAACTGCTCTATTTCGTATGTCTTTAAAATCATTTACAAATAAAAATTCACGGAAGTTTTCTGGGAGAAAAGAATTTATTACTCGTAATAAATTATTAACGTAGAACTTGCAAACATCAGTCATCTGGAACAATTAATTACACTTTATATTGAGCCTATATTGCATTTAAAACACCTAAGTTTAAATAGATATTTAAATTGATATTCATTCATTTTAAAAGTTAATTATGATATAAGTATTTTAACTTGAAGATTAATTGTAATAATATTTATTTATTAAAGTTATGCTCACCTGAACTTATAACACCCTGATGTCGCTATGAAATGGCCATCATATTTTATAAACTGGTATGCTAAGTTTTTTTAAACGATTCCTATCTAAGACTCAAGACTACTGTATTGTGTTTCAAAATCTGACTGCACAATTTTATCCTGTAGCAAGTAAAATGTCTTTATATGCCAGATATCTTCATAATAAAACTTTTAAATAAAAGTAAAAATTCATTTTAAAACATCTGTTTAATTTTAACTTTTTTTTTTTTTTGTAGTTATTTAGATGCTCTCAGAAGTCCTTACGTTCTTATCTTAGAGCATCGCTAGAGAGCATTTAACAGGAGGTTCACAGACCTATGGGTTCTGAGCCAGAATTCTAACCACTGCGCCACGGCTTATAATGATTATTGATTTTAATAATGATGCCAAAATGATCTTTTAACAGTCTGTTACCAAGAACTATTGCAGCTTCGCTTGATAACTCAAATCTAAAAACTCACAATTAAATAAACAATTTTGTTTAAAAATACATATAGTAATTGTGATTACTATATGTATTTTTAAACAAAATTTATACATTTCAGGCCGAAATGTATGCTAGTAACATACCCTTCCAAAAACAGTAACTTTGTCTTAACTATATTTTTCATAAGAAAAATTTTTAATACAATTGGACTTATGTAATTTGAAACTTTGAGGGGTCTCAAAATATGTTCGAATTACAAAAGTTTTTGAGTTATAGGAGTTCAACCCTAAATATTAAAACCTGAAGAGACCGAGGAAATTATTCAATTTAAAATCAAATATCTAAATACATCTATAAACGTCTCTACAAGTTGATAAATCACTAATAAGAAAACCATTTTTAAAACTTTTAATTTTTTAGTTGTTTTTAAAACCATTTATTGTTTTAAACACACCAAACTATTCATTTAATCACACTTTTTTGTGAAAATCTGATATGAAATTTACAATTATTAAATAATACTTGCACAAGTATTCCCTTATAATAATTAGTAATCCCTTATACTTAATAGTATTCCCTTATACTTAATAGTGCTACTGTCATTTCCTTATACTTAATAGTGCTACTATCCCAAGTATTCCCTTATATTTAATAATGCTACTTAACAACACCATGTCTTTCTACATTATATTTATTTTTGGGAATCATTAAAAGACTCCTAAAAAATATTTTGTGACTTCACTATCTTTAACACATGATTTTTCTAGAATGGAATTTATTGTGATAATCAATTTAGTTAAAAGTATAAAAGTTCTTTCTCTAATCAATGATAAAATTGCGACGAACTGCGACGAATGTTCCGCTCAATTTACTTCTTAATTTTTACTTGTATTTTCTATTGTGTATTTATTTCTATAATAAGTTTTAATACTAATTGTTTTGAAGATGCATAAAAAACTAATGACATGTCATATTTACCATACTTTTTTTATCTCTGTTTTATGTAGGGTATCACTGTTTTGATATTTTTTTTTTTGTTCAAGCATCTGTATTTTTCTCATCTTTTTTTTTTCATACATAATGAAAAAAATGTTTGTGCCCTTTGTCATATAATGTTCTACACTATATATTGCACTATATATTTAACTATATATTACTGGTAAACGGATTTAAAAAATTTTATGAAAAGTTCAAAATAGTATACTTTTTTGTCTAATTATTAGGGGCTCCATGAAGTTCGGTCTTTTTACCGAGTACCGCTGAAGTGCATTTAACTACAAAGTTTACGACTTCTTCCTTCTGATGACGCAATCTTATTTTTGAAATAAATCTCGAAGCAAACCCTCTAATATCTGCGCAGCAACAGTTCTAAATATAATGTAAATTTAAAAATATTAAGTAAAAATACTATTAGAAATAAAATGCGAAGAAAAAAAAGTTATGCATTTTAAAACTAATATTAATGTATATTCAAAAATTAAAATTAAAAAAAAACATGTTTTCACGGCTAATTAAAATGTCTAATTAATTGACTAATTCAAACTATTATTAAAAGTAAGTTTTTTTCTCATTATTTTATAAAAATATATTTAAGGCACACCAAGTTTTAGTAAATTTATTTATATGGAGATAAACTTAACAACTCGTACTTACGCATCGATAGAAATACATTTTTTTTTGTCTATTTTTATGACCAAAAAAAATTTCTCTCGGTCTAATATATAAGTAGATGATAGATTTTAACAATTAGGTTAAATACTGAAAAGTATTAAGTAAAATTGAATCAACTCAAAGTTTTTATTTTTATGACTCAGCTTGTTTTGCAGATAAGCCTTCATTTTTTTTAAGGATCGTCCACAAATTACGTCACGCAATTTTTGACCTTTTTAGAACTCTTCTCATCTCCCTCGTTACAACGTCAAAACACTTTAATAACAAGTTCCGTATGAATCGTCACAAAACCTCATACCCTTTTCCCTCCCCCTCTTATACTCTTTTATTAACTTGATTATTCTTAAAATTAATTAAACATTATGTACCATAATAATGAATCTTTTATATATTAACTATTTTATTTTTTAATATAACTTGAATTGATTTTATAAGATAACATGTATAGAAAATTTTGAAAAATTCACGATAGGATAAGTTTTTAAAAAATTAATTTAAATGAAATAAGCAACTTACCAAAATAAAACTGATATCTATAAATATATACTCATTTTACTAGTATCAAGAATATATACACACTTTCTATATTTTACTAGTATCAAGAATATATACTCACTTTCTATATTTAGGTATACTCCTCAAAACCATTTCCACGTCACGTGTCAAGATATTGATTATTCTACTTCTTGTTTAATGGGTGAAGGAGCATGTATTACAAATTTGGCGACCAAAACTATTAGTGTCGATACTAACATTAACCCAAGTGGCCAGATTTTTATTACTGTTGGGCAATCTTGTTCATGCGATATCTTACACGATTCAATTTTTTCTGACTTCATTGTATAAACTATCGTCGAGATTTGTACCTATTTTTGCTGAAGACAAGACTTGGAATTATTCGTAAAGCCTTGTTTACCAATAAAAACTTGATACCCCATAAAACTCGCTACTTCTAATGAAAGCCATCGTTTTGCTTTAACCCTGTTCTGATAGATAGAAATTTTTTGTTTAAAATTATAATACGGGCAATATGTTCTCACCAATTAACATAGTGCCACTAAAACTATTTTTTACTTTTATTTTTAAACTTCTAACAAAAAAAAACCCGTTCAATTGCAAACGTCAACAGTTAGGAATCAATTTGTTAGACACTATAACGCACAGTAAATTGCAAACAAGCTCAGCAGAAAAAATATTTTGTTCAACGAGATTATTTTTATGGACGTAATTAATAATCTTGTGGTATTTTATTCATTATTTATGCACATTTTAATTATTTTAAAGATTTGGGTAATTTTTGTATGAATAAAATTAACAAAAAAAAAATCACGAGTATAAGATATTTGTTTAAACCATTAAAATGAACTTTAAATAATAAAAAGTAAATGCAAAACACAAACTATATAATAAATTTTGCCTCATAATAAAATTAAAAAGTATTTTAGCTATAATTTATCTTATAACACAAAATTACAAAATATTATATTTTCAACTTTTTTGAATTTTATAAATCCATTTCAAAGTTGTATATAGAAATAAATAATTGTTGAACTGTAGTTAGGCTATACTTTGATTCAGGGATCCGGAGTTCCAAAACGGACTCCGGATTTGAAAAACACAAAAAGATTACTTCATCCTAGCTTTTGGTATCCAAGAGCTCTAAAAATATAAATAAGTTTATGGACTGCTAATAGGAAAAAAATTAAGACTTTTAGGTAAGAGGAGCAACCATTTTTTGAATAGCGGCATAGACACCGGGCTTAAAAACAATAAGTTTCAAGTCATTAAATCTCATAGATCTTTTTCTTATAGCAGATCATAAGTCAGCAAACATGTTTAGAGCTTCTAAACTCTACAGACTTAGAAAAAGTAGAGATATAAAGCCGGAGTCCTTCTGGGACTCCGCATCCCTGCTTTGATTTGATGTGGTTTGTGGTCAGGAAAATTAGTTTAAAATTGTAAGCTTAAATAATATGTTTTAGAGACACCTCAATTATTTTAACTTTTTAACAGGTCCCTAATGTTAAAAAAAAAAGTTTTAAAGTATGTCGTGTTAGGTCTTAATTATATAGTATTTAAAAAAAAAAAATCATTTCATACTACAATTAATTTTTTTAGATTTAATTGCATCAAAACAATGGGTTTTTTAGCTAGAAATAAAAAAGTGTATTTTTACATGTTTTTAATAAAACAAAATGTTTTCAAATACTTTATATAAAAAATTATTCTTTTTGAAATTTATATATTGTTTGTTTCTTTTGAGTACCAGGTTGACCTATTTTAAAAGAATTTTTTTATTAGACTTTGTTGAAAAGTAAACGAGATTACTTTTCAACAGAATCTAATAAAAAAATAGTAATAGCTTGTATTGCTAGCTGGATTCGTTTCGAGAGAATCCAGCTAGCAATACAAGCTATTACTAAAAAAATGGTCGTATGTACAAGCTGCTAAATGTTATAATGTAGCAAAATCTACTCTTTTTTACAAAACAAAAGGGTCATCTAATGACCGAAGAGTGCCAAGAAAGATGAGCAGCATCACTGAAGCTATTATTCTTGATTTATTAAAATTTATGAGTGTTGTAGGCTTTGGCTGGAATAGAAATTTGCTCTAATAAAGTAAGCGGTGTGCACTCAAACTTTTAGAGCTGTGGCCACACTGCTGTAAGCTGTGGCCACACAGCCAACTATAATTGACAATTGGTTTGAGCAATTAGCAGCAGTATATATTGAACATAATTTAGGCAATAAACTGTTTAACTAATTTAGGCAATAAATATTTAACTTTGATGAGTTGGCTTGCAATTTGATCAAGGCAAAGTCAAAATAATTTTTAGAAAAGGAACAAAAAATCCTAAAAAGCAAGCATCATCGAATGAAAAGCAAATGACGACAATCTTGACTTGTTGTGACGCTTGCGGCAATTATTTGCTACACCAAGTAATTTACAAAGACCAGCATAATATAAAAGACTAATGCAAAGACGGTGCGCATAATGTTTGTTATAACAGTAGTAGTTCAGGCTGGATGGAATCCAAACATTTTTTGTGGTGGTTTACAACAGTTTTTTTGCCTCACGCAAATAAACTTTCAGGTTTTAAAGTTCTAATTCTTGATGGCCATGCTTCATATATGAGCTTAGAACTGAAAAAAAAAAGCTTTAGAAAATTTTATTTTACTTTGGCGTTTGCCGGCTCATACTAGCCATTTTTTTCAGCCATTAAATGTTGGCATTTTTAAAAACAGTAAAAGGGTAATGGAAGCGAATAGCCAAAAGTTATTTGACTAAAAATCACTTTCAAAGTTTGACAAATTGATATTTCCGGCCATGTTTAAGGATCTCATCCGAAATGATGGGTTTAAAACTGAAAATGCACGGACTGGTTTCACTCGATCGTTCACAAATTTTTTCTAAAAAAGCTTCCATCGGTGTCGTGTTTCAAGCTGTTGAAAACAACAATGTTGAAAATAATGCCGATCAATAAGTAGGAAAAGATATAAATAAATTAGTATTAAATATGCTTCGAGATCTATTGACAACATCTCTAAGTAAAAGAGTTCAAAATGGTGAGAGAATAAAGCAACCATATGACTTATTAAAAATAAAAAGTCATATTATATGACATTGTAATATGACTTTGACATCGTAAGCTATGGCGGAAGCCATAGCTTACGATGAACAAGAATCAAAAAAACAAAAATTAGATGAACAAGCTGCAAAGAAATTGATTAGAGAGCAAAAACAGATTACCTACTACTCAAAAAGCAGAAAATGCACAGAAAAGAGAAGGAATAAAAAATTGAAACAAAGTCACTTCGCTAAAACACCAGGTAAAAAAGGTTGAAAGACAAAGAATCAATAAGAAGACCCACATTTATCTCAAGCTTCAAATAGCATTTTAGTATCTGATGATCGTTTTGTTATTCAATGGAATTTATTTGTAAAAAATGTAAATAAAATAATATATATATTTTTTTTAACTAAACGATTCCATTTTTTAATGGATTCAATTAATTATTTTAATGTTAGTATTAACTGTGTGTGTTTTTCTATATTTATACGTATCCGGAATTAGGAACATAGAAACCATATTCCGGATAAAAACAATACTTTTTAAAAACAAAATAAAATAGAGATTTTAATTAAAAAAATAAAGTTTTTTTTATATTATTCGATTCGTCTTGTTATGAAGTTTATTTATCCGTAAGTAGGGGGGTTTTACGGTATATCGATATATATATACATATATAAATATATATATATATATATATATATATATATATATATATATATATATATATATATATATACATACGAGAGCTTTCATGACACCCAGGGCGTATAAGCAATAAGGTGCCCACTAAGCATGCATATTTCTTAATTAAAAGCATGTAAACTATTATTATTATTTTTTTATTTTTTATTTTTTTTTATTTGTCATTAAAAAAAAAGAATACCGTGCCGTGCCGTGTTATATAAATAATATCTACATGACCGGGGCTAAAAGAAGACAATATTTGCCTTATCACTACACCCCGACGTGCTTTCATCAGCAAGCGTGTATAACCATTAAAATGTAAACATAAAACATAAAATTACTTTGTACCATTTAAAAACTATATACAAATATATACAAATATGTTAAGATCAGTTACTAATCTATAATCAAAAGAAAATTGTAAAAACAAAAACAAAAAAAATTAAAAAAAAAAAAAAAAAGCAATCACACTTAAAAACTGAAGATACGCTAATAGGATAATTAAAGAAAATTTAAATTGGTTAGACTAGTTAATAAGATAGTTGTTAAAAAAGAAGATAAAAGAATCTTAAAAAGAATATAATTCATTAACATCGTTAAGAAGTTTTTGTTTAAGTTTTTGTTTAAATAGAGAAAGTGAAGAACAATTTTTCAACTGGTTATTTAATAAAGTGTTCCATAATTTAGGACCTCTGATGGCAATAGAAAATTTAGTAGCCAAATAGTGTATTTTAGGTTGCTCGTAATTGTAATTTGAAAATCTTGTAGGGTACACGTGATTAATTTTATTGAAAAATGTATTAAAAATTATAGGAGTTAATTTATTATGTAGTTTGTACATAAAAATAAGAATTTGATAAAGGTTTAACTGAAGAACATTGAGTATGTGATGATTTTTGAATAGTTCTTTAGAATGTGTGAATCGACCTGCATTTGAAATAATCCTGACAGCGTGTTTTTGTCTACTAAGCAATTTTTTAACTTTACTTACATTAGAGCTGCACCATGCAATATTTGCATAGTTTGTATAACAATGTATGAGGGAGAAATATAAGATTTTTAAGCAGTTTTGGTTTAAAATTTGCTTAGCTTTGTATAGTATGCCAATATTTTTCGAAGTTTTATTTTCAATTGTTCTTATGTGTTCTCTCCATGTCATGTTTTCGTCAAGTATCACTCCTAAAAACTTTAATGATGACTCTTTAACTATTTTAGAGTTGCCAATTTAAAGATCAGGAAGTTTTAATGGAATATTTTCTTTATCGTGAAGTCTATGAAAAAAAGTATACTTACTAATAATGGCATGGTCAGTTGAATACCCTGGTTGAAAACCAAATTGTTTGTTATATAGAATATTATTTATATTTAGAAAAGTCAAAATTCGTTTATACATAATTCCCTCTAAGATTTTGGAGAAGCAAGGAAGAATTGATATTGGTCTGTAATTTTCAGGATTAAATATGTCTCCTGACTTGAAAATAGGTATACAAACTATACAAGTTAATAACTGAATATAAATATACTAATACTGAATATAAAAATACTGAAATAGGTATACAAACTATACAAGTTAATAACTGCTTTTTAATTTCTAATACTATTAATTTACATCCTAATTTTTAAGAACTTCTGGGTTAATAACACTTA